GGCTTCCGCGGAAACAAACGGTAGCCTTCCGAATCGCTGCCATGCGTCCCCCTTCGATCCCCAACGGCGGGTAACGTCCGGTAGCCATCGTCGGCAGATGGAGCGGGGCCTGTCGTTTCCGTTGCTACGACTGCCTTCCCAGTCAAAGAAGGGGAGGAGGCGATATTTCGCTTCTCCTGCCCTGTCGTCGCAGTTGATCTTCGCAGATGATCATCAAACGCGTCAAGATCGCGGCGCAGTGACCCTGCAAGACCGTTTCTCTCGACGATAGACCGTAATTCAAAAAAGAGTGGGTTCATCATTTGCCGTAACTTCTCTTGTTCTTGAATGCGTCTTGCGTACTGCTCGTTCTGGTCCGCAAGCATTTTCTCCTTGTAAGTCTCCATGATGGTTGACTCCACCTTCATGGAGGCAATCGTTTCGTTAAGCACCGCCACCTTTTCACGCTGTTGCTCCAAGTCCCGCCGCATCCGTTCATTTGCCTCACATAATGACTTGTATGAGGTGTCCCCGAGTGCACACTCAAACCGTTCAATTGTGCGCTTTGCCGCATTGAGCTCCTGCTGAAGTACACGGATCTCACCCTTCATTGCCCGCTCCGCCCCTTCCCGCTCAGTTTGCTTCATCGCCATCTGCCGCTCCATCCTCTTTACCTGCTGCTTCAGTGATTGCACCTCCGCCTCAGCCCTGCTAGCACGTTCCTCCTCCGCCAACCGAGCACTCTTATGTGCTTTTATTTGCGTCTCCGACTTTAACTTCAGTGAGTTGATTTCCTCGCTGATGCTCTGTACATGGCAGGCGTGCTCCTGGGCCCGCTGCGCAAGCTTTTCACTCAATTCTTCCACTTTTGTTTTTAATGTCTCCTTCTCTGCGTTGAGAAAAATGGCATTCTCGACATACTCCTTCTCGCGAGCTGCGTATTTTACCGCGGTCTGTTGCAGTTCCTCATGCAGGCGGTCATGATTCGCCGTCATACGGAGAAGCTTTTCAAAAAGGTCCCTTTCAACTTCCTCCTTTTGTGCTTTTAACTCATCCGCAAGGGCCTTAAAGGCATCACGTGCGGCACATACCTCGATCATGTCATCACGCATCCTCCGCGTGCTCTCCTCGGTCGTGCGCACCAGCGTTTCCTTCTCCTCCTTTAGCCGCTCATTAGTGGCACGCAGAACGGCTATCGTCTCAAACGACTCCCGTTCATTCTTCTCTGCATTTTCCTGCAATTTTTGCAAACGTACCTTCAGACTCTCAATTTCAGCTCGCAACAACGCCTTCTTCGTGTAGGCATCATCGCCAGTAATACGTAGTTCCTCTGCCATCTTCGTGAGATCCTTCTTGAGCTGCTCCACTTCCCCTTTGAGAGAGACATTCACTTGAAAGTCATACTGCTCACGTTCTGCAGCTCTGGCGCGGTGGGTATCGAACTGTGTCTTCAACTCGACCAGCTCCGCGCTCACATTTTCCAGATTCTTTGTGAGTTCCCCTACCTGCGCCTTATGTACACCAATCTCCAGTGTAAACTGCCTACGCTCAACAGTCGCCTCCGCATGTGCCGTGTCAAGCTCACGGTAGAGAGACTTTGTCTTCTCACGCTCAGCATCCAGCAGCGACTGCACCCCCTCTAGTTCCACCCGCCTGCCTGTGGAAACCTCATGAAGCCGTTTGCATTCATCCCTCGAAGCCTCCAGCTGCGAGTTAAGAAGACTGATGAGCACACTCCCCTTCTCATCATCTCGGCCCTTTCGCTCAAGCTCAGATTGAAGCAAACGCGCCGTCTCGCGGTATTTCTCTACTTCTTCGTTGAGAACTTTCAGTAAAAGTGCCGTCTCGGCATCTGTGCTCTGCGGATGGGCGTGTGCGAGTCTAGCATCAATGGTCAAGGCATCGGTGTTCTGCGCCTCCTGCAGGGCATTAAACTGCACTTGTAGTTCCTCATGCAGCCTCTTAAGCCGCTCGTAATCCAATTTCAATTCGCGGTAGGCGTTCACTGACTCCTCACGTAAACGCTCCACATCCCACAGTTGTTCCCGAGAAACACGCATCTTCTCCTCGAGCTGATTCTCTGCCTCAACGCTTCGCATTTGCGCAAGCTCCAGTTCATTTCCCAGCATTGCCACACGTCGCAAGGCAGACTCCCGCTCCTGCATCATATTGTCAACGCCCAGCTGCATCCCGCTCAACTTTGCGCGGAGCTCACGGGTCTCGCGGTCTTTGCACTCGAGGGCTTCATTCAGCGCCTGCTCCCGTATCTCAAAGGCCAACCTCAATTCACGCTCTGTGATGGCACGATGAATGTCCATCTCCCGCTGCCGCTCATTGTCCAGAGCGCGCCTCCACTCCTCCTCCAGCCGCTGACGTGCCTCCGACTCCAGTCTGCGCAGACGCTCCTGCTCCTCGGCGAGTTTCCGCAGCTCCGCTTGGCGCAGAAGCTCCGCCTTTTCGGAATCGTTGGCCCCTCCCTTCTTCTTTGACGGCATATAAAACTCAGTAATAGTGATAAAAAGAGACACACAGGCACGCACAGAGAGAAGAAAGTAAAAAAAAAAAAAAAAAGGCCCAGGCACACTAGTTCACTTCTTCCTTTTGTTCTCCCAGCTACACTAGACCAAAAAAAAAAAACAAGGAAGGAAACAAATGCCTTACATGGCATTCATTGAAAGACGTCAATGAATCCAATGGAAAGACCTTAAAGCAAAATTGAATGCAAAGAGAAAAATAAAACGTGCGCGTAGGGCGCAGTACACACTGCCGTCCGAACGCCGACAGCAGTGGCCAGCCATTCATTGCTCCACCGCCGCCCGCAATTCCCCACATCCCCTCTTACCGTAAAAAAAAAAAAAACCCAAAATTAAAAATAAATGAAATAAGTTTTAAAAAATTGCCAATATTGGCAGCCCTGAGAGATATGATGGGCAAAGAACAGTCGGTTCACCCCGAAGTAGGGGCCTTGCACTGTGGGCGACGCCCGCAGGATGCGGTGTGAAGAAGTATGGGGCAGACCCACGTTTTGAGGCCATGGCACTCCCTGACGAGTGCACGACCCTTGGCCCTGACATCAACACATGCTGCGGCAGATCGTTGCGCCGACGTGTAGAATAAACGGGCCGTAGCCAACATCGATGAAAGCTCCTCTGTGTTCTCTTCTGCAGTTAGTCCCTGCAACGTCTCCAGTGGCATTTTTCCAAAACAAGAGATGCCCGATGCAGAATTGGTAGTAGAATTTCCTACTTCCTTGCCAGAACGTTTACCATGAGAACCATAGTTATTTTCCCCACGTCGTAGACCCTGCCGCCGCTTCCGACGTCGCTGCCGCTGCTCGAGTGACTTCTCCCACCTGCGTAGTGTGACTGTCAACTCCCTTGGTGTGACAAAAAAGGTTGAAAACAGGTGAACACCAACCGATGAAGCGGGGGAAGAGGTGGTGCTGCTAGTTGCTGCACGTTTGGCGTGCACAGATGGACGACGGCGCCACCATGGCTTTGGAAGAATATCCCCGATGCCTCGACTCGATGCCTTCCAGTCAACATTTCCGATGGTGTCATTACACTTCCCCTTTTTCGTGTGATGTGTCCTTTCGTCATTGTTGTTGTTGTTTGTGTTGTGACAAGACAGCATGGAGCCTTCACACCGCCTCCGCCCCTCTGGCAAATTGATGCAAAGCAGAGAGCGGCGCATTTACACACGCACAAACAACTTCGTATTAAAAAAAAAAAAAAAAATCACAAGAACAAAAGCAAAAAATGCATATATATATATATATATATATATATATAATTATTTATCTATCAGCGCAGCCCAAATTCAGAATAAAAACACCCACACAGAGAACAAGATATACATAAGATAATCAATGACAGATGTACACACACACACACACCCTCCCTCTTTTCATCAAAACATCCGACACACGCAAAAGAATCATGCGGAGCCAACAGCACCGCCTTCCGTTCTCCTCTTAATGACGTTTGGGGTATCACTGCTGGTTAAATGCATACACGCATATATGCATAGATGTCGTCTAACTGTTGCGCCTTCTTTTATCCCTCTCTTCTGTTCTAAAGTATACACCCGAAAAATGTAATAGAGCAGGGTTGCAAAAAAAAAAAAAAAATAAAAAATAAATAAATAAATAAATAGCAGCAACACGCAAAGCATCCGCATCTCACCGTTCCTGTGGTCATGTCACCGTTGATCTCTTGTACGCTCAGTGTTCCTTTTCCTTTTCCTTTTCCACCTCGTCCCTCGTTTCTCCCTGCATTCTCTTCATAAAACTCTCCCGTCCAGTCCAAACGATTCTCACCAGCACCATCACTTTCTTGTTTGTTTGTTTGTTTTTTTCTTTTCCCATTCATCAGAAGCAGGCGTATGGCATGGCCCAATCACCAGACACTCACACACAAAAAAAAATAAAAATAAAAAATAACAAAAATAAAAAACAGAATATAAATGTCTAAAAGTTGTGTGAGGCCCAATACAAGTCCATGTCCCCTCCACTTTCTCTCGGCACATCCATCAGCAGCAAACGACGTAAAAAGTAGTCATAACGCCAACAAGAATGAACAAAATCCCCCCACCACACAACAAAGAAAAATTGAACAAAAAAAAAAAAGACGGTACCAAACGGTGTTTTTTTAAAGGTGGTGCTGCCCATGAGCATACACGTCCACGAAAAGAGACAAATCCAGTGATTTTGTGATGCGGAGTGGAAGAAAAAAAGGGGGAAATAAACGCTGCGGTGTTTCTCTATGCCCGACGTGGGTCCCACAAAGGCTCCCTCGTAATTTTGTTTTCATTTGTACCCCCTCCATCCATTCCCTGTTGTTCGTGAGAAGTACAGCAAAAAGACACAAAACTAAATAATAATAACAATAACAATAATAATAGTGGGGAATCAATAAAAAATAAAAATAAAAAGATGTCTGTGCCGACATAAATAGAAATACACACGCATACGTACACACAAAGACAGACAGATACAGCTGTAACGAAACCCCCCCGGCACTTCATCGACGGAAATTGTTGCTCAGTACCGTCTCCACTTGCGTAAGAATTCCGGTATGATCCACAACGAACGGTTCTGCCGTACCGTCTGCGAGAACGTAGTACTTTTGCCCAACGTTGTGTCTTCTGTCACTTTGCCAGCGAATATCCATGAGCGTGTTGCACACTACCTGTGAGCGGAGGTTAGAGAGCCGAAAGAGTGTGAAAGAGCCGGAAGGGTCTGGGAACACCTTTCTTACATAGACAAACTTTGTGTCCTTTGGCACGGAGCTTTTATCACGTTGATGAATATATGCTGCGTGAACGGCCGCCGGCGTCAATCCTTCCGCCCGAAGTCGTGCCACTTCATTCACAAAACCCATGATACTTTCTAGAACACCGCCAAGATGTCGTTGTGCCTCGGAGACGCTGAGTAGTCTTACATCCTCATCGTAAAAAGTCTGCACATGTGGGTGTGGTTGACTGCGGTTTGTGCTCTCGTTGTTCATGCATGGTACGTACAACACTAGTCTAGAGTGAACATCCACTACCGCCGTGCCCACACCGGCTTCTGTTGGAAACATGGCGCCATATCTACCGGGCTGTGCGCAGTAATACATCACTACCGTCTCTTCATTGGTGAAGGAGTAGAAACGAACCCATCCACCACTAAGGAAGTCGTCAACAAACCGCTGTCTATTCTGTTCTTCACGAGGAAGTGCCAAAAATGCACTGTTGCCGCCAGAAACACGATGGCCGCCAACAACTTGGCGTGCTTCGACGCCAGATTGCACCAACGGATGGGATGGCTGACGCGGTACGGGAAAATTCGGCGGTGGAACGGCTTGGGGCACCAAGTATGGTGTGTTCTGTGGCATGCCCGGCCCTCTACGGGGTAACGGGGGCCCACCATGCAGCGTCACCATGCCACCCGCAGAGGGCTGACGTCCCTTCTTTGGCATGTTTGGCATTGGAGCAGCAGGGGCCGTAGTATTTGTGGGAGTGGGAGCAGGGATAGCTGTTCGCGTGACCTTTGCCAAGTGAGGTTCAATTGGTTTGGGGGCCACGTTCTTTGCGACCGACGACACCGCCCCTGCGGAACGGCTGGACGAAACACTTCGCGGTACCTGGGGTTGTCGAGACATCTCTGGTGGTTTGGCGGCCGCGTCGGCTCTAATAACAATGACACCTTGTCCTTGTTGTTTCTGCTGCTGTTGAAGACTAGCTTCTCTCGCGGCTCGGTGCTGAGCGGCTATGCCAACAATATTCCCACTTTCATTCACTTTGTAAGGAGGCGTATCTTTCTCCTGTCCCCCGCCGCGCGCCTCTTTCCGTTCTTTCTTTAGTGGAGGGGAGTCCACATCCATCACCTCCTGCATCTCCGCAGAAGTTCTTGGTTGAATCCTCTCCCCTTTCTTAAGTCTTGACAGACGAATTTCAGGTGGAAGCTCAAATGAAAAACTGCTGTTGACATCCTCACACCCGTGAACTCTAGCCGGCGTTGACCTTCGTCCGCCACCGCTTCCCGCCCGCCGTGTAAAGGGCATCTCTGGAAAGGATGCATCACGATGCTGCACCACCATGGTTCCCACATCTTCTGGAGAGGCAACATGGCTGTCGCCGATGCTGATGCGTCCGCCAGAGGAGGCTCGTCCTGTTGAACTACGCCCAGATGGACGTCCACTGGCTCGGGGCTTTGGATCATCGGGAAGTCGCACCTCAAGTAGGCTGCCACGTCGTGGTTCGGCCTCCTCCCACAGCATCGTGTTCATACGTGAGGAACGGCGTGGGGATGGACTCCAGCTAGGACCACGGCACTGTAACGAGTGGGCCTGCAATTTTGCAGAAGAAGTAAACTTTTTCGCGCATGACACGCACACAAAATTAACGTCCTTGAGACGCCCTTGATAGGCACATCGCATACAAAGGTCGTAGTCGCATTTATAGCAACGGAAGGCAGGAGTTTCAGGAGAAATCTTAAGAATCTCACGATCACACACATTACAATCAAACCCATTGTATCCATGAGGCATAGCTGTCAATTTTGTCATGATGTGATGGTTCAGGCACCTAAACTCTTCTATTTCGCTGTTTAGTTCACGAGGGAGTGAAATCACGGGACGCAACGACCACCGTGTAGCGGTGTCTCGTCCTGGATAAACCATGGCGTACTTGTCGGGTGAGGCACGGACAATTCTTCCGGATTCCTCCTTCGTGGAAGCCGCAGGCGCCACCAGAACGACGCTAGACTGTCTGTGCGAGCGCGAGGAGCGAGTCACGGGTCCCGCCTCTGTCGGTACGGTTGCCGCGGAAAATGACGATACGAGTGCCTCACTCCTTCTGCGTCTGCTTCTCTGTGTGACCCGCTGATTTTGAATCACAGTGCGGTATCTCTGTTCGTCCTCACAAATGCTCCGTCTGACGTCCGCCTCCGCACGTGAAAGTTTCAACAACTCCAGCATGACACGTAACGTTTCGTGATGCTCCAACACCAAATTTGCACGAGCCCTTTGTTCCGTCAATACGACGCGCCGCATTCCCTCCGCGAGCACATCATCTGCCGTCCTCTTTCCTGTGGGAATTGGAAGATTGTCCGCGAGACGAGTCAATGAACGGCGTTTGGAGCCATGGCGTGAAACAGAAGAGGAAGAGGGACGTTCCAGCAGATTCAACTTGTACAACAGAGAGAGTGGGCATGACAGCGGACGTCGATTCCACACGGGGTGTTGCAACACCTCCTGCAGCGTGGCACGCTTCTTGGTATCCCGATGAAGTGCCCAGTTTACAAGATCGCAGAGTTCCGGGTCGCCTGACCACCCTGTTGGCCACTCCCATGCGGCATCCGCAACAGCATTAAAGAGTGAGAGAGTTTTTTGCGTTTTATCCATTTCCCGTGTCCCTCTCTTCTCCATTGCCTCCATGTATGGGTTCATGCGTGTCAGCATGACGTAAATCACGACACCAATACTCCATGTATCCACTTCTTGACCGTACTGAAGCGGCGGCTGATGGGTTGAATGACTCATACGCTTGTAAACTGCCTCCGCAATCTCTGGCGCCATGTACATAGCGGTGCCCGCAACTGTCTTGCGTGGTTGCGCCTCCGCAATTCTACTGGAAAGGCCAAAGTCTGTAATTTTCAAATTCCCATCAAAGTCAAAAAGAAGATTCTGCGGTTTCAGGTCACGGTGGATGCAACCCTTAGAATGCATGAAGGCGATGGTGTCCACAAGAGCCCACCCCACCCACAGAATCTCCGGTACATCTAGTCCGTGATTGGCGATAACATCGTGCAGTGAGCGGCTGGCGCAGCACTCCATCACCACATACGCCGTCTCCTCATCCCGTCCGGCGGCGATAAACTTCACCACGTTGGGGTGCCGTGAGAAGTGATTCATCAGTTCCACCTCCTTCAGAAGACGGGCCCAATCACCCTCAGTCAGTTTCTTTGCGGATACCTTCAAGGCATATAACTCACCCCCATTGGACCGCGCCGCATACACACGACCAAAACCCCCTTTACCTAACAAACTTGTCGTCGTGAGCTGCAGGCTATCCTCCTCAAATATGATTGTCATATGCTCCAACGGCTGCCGATAATGCTCATCCTTGTTGTCGGTGCTGGTATAGTCACCGTGATGCAAATGGCATCTCTGAATAAATGGCGTTCGAACAGTAGGAGACAATCCAGCAATGGCAGGTGTATGTGACAGTTCACGTGGAATAGATAACATGGCGTACGATCTGGGTGTCCGTAGCCGTCCATCCTTTTCTTCTCCCCCCTCCTCTGTTTTTCCATCATTATCCTTCCTGGATTTGACATCACCACCGCTACTACTGCTATTACTATTGCTGCTGCCGCCACTGTTATCCTGCTTCTTTTCAAGTAATGACATCTTTTGTGTGTATGTATGTGTGTGTGTGTGTGTGTGTCGCGTCTCTTTCTATAGGTTTTTTTTTTTTTTTTTATGTATCACACACAGACACCACCTCTCTCTCTCTCTATATATATATATATATAATGTATGTATTTCTGTGTATATATCGTATCTAGGCCACAAGATTACAAAACGGAAAAAAAAAAAGAGGACTCATGCACAGAGGCCACACACACACACTAATAATAATAATAATAATAATAATAATAATAATAATAATTTTTTTTTTTTATCCATGTCGATTGCACTATTGAGCACTGCAACGGCAAACAAATACACTCCCGCATAAATATCTCCCCGTGTGTATGTGGTGTACCCGTCGCACATCTCTCTCCCTAATAATGTCACTCCACATTTCCAAATAAACAACAACAACAACAATAATAAAAAAAAAAACAATTGAATAAAAGAAATAGTCTCGTCCAATTTTATGACCGGATCCTAAAATTATCCAACAAAATAAAATAGTACGGGAAAAAAAAACAAAAAAAAAAAAAAACCGTTAACTGGAAAAAAAGGGCATTGAATCCGCCATTTCCTAAATATTTGCTCCTGGTATATAAATGAATACATTTTTATTAGTTATTCAGTGGTACACCTTAGGGTCCTATTACAGCCACCATGTCCCCTCCCCCCCCTAACTGTAATTCCTTCCATCGCCGTCTTTCAAGGAAAACATCATACAGAAATGTCTTTGTCTTATTGGGAATATATTCATTCATTTAGTTGGGCAGCCCTCTCGCAAACATTCCCTTCATATAAGTTCCTAATGAAAATAATAAAAATAAAATAAATAAAGGGAACAATTTGGTTATTACGCAGGGTTGAGCTGTTCATCATCCACGCTGTTTTTTTCTTCCTTTGCCTTCGTTGCTACCGACTCCAAAGGGCTTTTCTCAGGTTGTACTCGTACTGCCTCCGTCTTAACGGCTGTGTGAATGCATGCGATACCACCCGTGAGATTTTCATAGCGAACATACCCAAACCCCGCATCACTTATCATTTTTGCAAATTCCTCCTGATCCGGGAAGGCACGTATGCTATCCACAAGATATTGGTAACTCTCCCTCTCTACCAGTATTTGTCCTGCCATGGGAATAAAGCCATACGACCACACATCGTATGGCAAACTCAAAAAGGGGCATGTCACTTTGCTAAATTCTAAAACATTCAAAACACCGCCAACTTTAAGCACACGATAGGCCTCACGTAGCGCCTTAGGACGATCGCTGAAGTTACGAATGCCAAACGACACGGTGTAGCTATCAAAGCTCATATCATCAAAAGGCAACTCTTCTCCTTTGCCAATAACCCACTTAACGTCAAGATATCCCTCTCGAGCTGCACGTGCCTCTCCCTCACGAATCATATTTTCATTGGCATCCAACACTACCACCTCTGTCAAATATCGCAATGTTGGCACAAGACCAAAAACTTCCTCCTTTAATCGGACACCGTCTATAATTCGAAAGGCAATGTCACCTGTGCCGCCAGCAACATCCAGAAATTTGCCACCAGGACATGGGCGCACGTAATCATTCACAAAATGTTGCTTCCACCTTCGATGTATACCAAGCGAGAGCAAATCGTTCATCAGGTCATACCTTTTAGCCACCGTGTCAAAGACGTTGTTGACATAGCTGGCACCAGGCCCCATGCTACGCCGAAGCATGCTGCAACGTAACATTCTTCACCCTACCAATCAAAAGATAAAAGAAGACACCACTACCCGTCTTGGTCTTCTTTTTCTTTCCCTCTTTTCGTTTTTATTTCTTTCTTCCCTTTCTTTCTTTCTTTTCTTTTTTTTCTTTTCTCCCCCTTCCAATAAATAAATAATAATTGCAAAAGAATATGGGGAAGGAGGTGGCAAACAACACGTGCGGTTGTGTGTGAGTGCAAATGCGAATAGGCCGCCCAATGGCTCAGTTTTACACAACAAATCATGACTTCTTCCCTCTCTTTTGTTTGACGTTCATCCCTTCCTCCTCCTCCTCCTCCAAAAGTGCGTCCTTTTTGTTTGTTTTTGCTCGTTTGTTTGTTTGTTTGTTTGAATGCACAACACATCAGCAGAGCAGCAAAGCGGTCGCAGCTGCAGGGCAAAAGAATATGTTTCACCTCACCTCCCCCCTCCCCCTTTTTTTTTGTTGTTGTTAAAAAAATAAAATAAAATTAAATAAATAAAATTCCTCCCGCTCACTGCTGGGAGGTGCCAAATAAAAAGGGTGAAAAGCGAAGAAGAGGATCCCCATGGGAACAGTATAACACACACACACACACAATCGACAGCTGCACGTTCACTCTCGTCACGCAAGCCACACAGAACCCATGGCATCACCCAAAACGATGCGCCCACACTTCGTCCATATCCCACACGCGGAGATTGTTGGCGACTGTCCAAATTTTATGAGGTTGTTACACGGAATTTGATACACCGCGCCCCCATGCAGGGAGGACGATGGCGATATTATGTGCCTCTCCTCAATTCCATGCGACAACGACGAGAATGGTGCATGTTGTCCATCATCATCATTGTCCATTTCCTCATGAATGGCTGGCATATGGCGTGCGGTTGGGGAGAGTGACGGTTTCATCAACGCGCTCACGTCAAAGAGCACCAACAAATTGGAGGATGCGTAAGGAAAGGCAATGAGACCCGGTGGGTCCAGCACTGAAATTCGCAACGACGGTGAATCAAAAACCGCAGTTGTCTGTATGAAATCGGCACACCTTGCCTCTGCGATCAGACACATGTCGCTATGCCCCACATTTATTCCCTGCACATCCCCCGCTTGGTTGTTGAGCCACACGACGCTTCGCAGCGATGAGGCGTAGGACGGCTGCAGACGACAGATGGTGGAAGATGCTTGATGCATGGCAACACACTCACGAACGCAACGTACATCCCACAGTTGCACAGACCCTGACATGGAGCCGCACAAAATGTTGATGGGATTATCACGGCAGAGAAATGCAACAGCGGTGAGTGGATCATGAAGGGCAAAAAGAGAGCCTCGTTGCCCAATGTTATATACTCGCGAAAAGGCACCGGTACATGTGATGGCCGTACCGCTGCGACGATCCAACCACACCGTGCGGCCAGAAGAAAGTGCTGCCAAACTAACGTGTTCTGTAACGGCCACCACGTCATTTGCATAGATGCTTTCAGTATTCGTGCCAATACTGGCCCTACTGCTGCTGTTGCCGCCGCCCCTAGTTCCGTGCACATCAACGTGGTCTTCTGTCAAAGAAAAGCGTTGTTGCGGCTCGCAGGTTTCCTCGTCCACTTCTTCCAGATCAAAGATATCAACAACAGGGGCACGGTGGTAACCTGCTACAAGTTGCAGCGATGATGAGAGGAATTGCACTGCAGAAAAGCCACTGCGAAAACCATGCCACTCACGCCCCTTCACTCTAACCAATGGAGAGACATCATATGGCTCCTCACACATCTCGCAACTTTCAAGCCATCGCTCTGTGCTGTACACAGAGAGGCATCGCGCCTGGCAGGCCACAGCAAACTGCTCCTGCATGTCAAACACAATGTCCGTAATGGAACTTAATGTCCCTGTCACTTGATCCTGTGGCACCACCCTGTGGAAGTCATGAAGTCGCAACAACCGAAACCGGCGAAGCCACGCGGAAGCTTCAATTCTTTGGGGCAGGGCAAGTGTCCCGTGCCGTTGGGGGGACCCGGTGCCCTTTTCGCAGCACAAGCGCGTCGGATCCGGAAACCCACCACCAAGTCTGTAATTTGGTTGGAGAAGGCGGGGGAAAATAATGCGCTCAAGAAAGTATGGTCCACTCCGCCGCAGTGCGGTTTTCTCTCTTACCCGCTGGAAAGACGCCCGAATGTCATGCAGATCATCACCTTCCCGAGTCCGCTTCAAGGAACTCATTTGTCGTGTTTGTGAACGATCCCAGCGTGAGAGACGTTGCCGTCCGCATATAAATTAAATGCTATGTTCAATTCACCAACAAAAACGCCGCTAATCGTCCACGCATACGCAAGCAGGTAGAAGGGAAGAGAAAGAGAAACGACATCAGCAGTTAGAGGGACGTAAGACGCATACAAAAGAAACAGAACCAATCCAAAAAAAAAAAAAAAAATTGATTGGTTGTGGGTTCTCTTTCCCACCGCCGCACAAACCGCCAGGGCGTGTGTGCCTCCATCACCGGTAAAAAAAGAATTGACTTTCTTCTACGCAGCCATTCTTTTTTTTTTTTTTTTTTTTTGGATCTTCTTTTCATATTGCTTTGCTGGATGGAGCTGGGTTGCTTCAGTCTCTTTCCACCACCACGTCTAATCCGTCAGGATGCATACGTGTTATTATTGAACTCGTGAAACAGACGCATCTGTGCACATTCAAAGCTGCATCGCTCCCAGCCACTTGATTCACCCGCTACAAAGATGCACCCTCAGAGCCACAGCGTACGCCCATTCTCCTTTAAGAGTTCTCTAAGTTTTTCCGACAGCAAAAGTTCCAGTCTTTGCCGCAGTTCTTCGTTCAATCCGTACGCATCGCCAAAACGCTTTGCAAGATCTGCTGCCTCATCCCCCCTGTGAACGCCAATGCGTCCCGTCTTCCCACTCGGTAAGTCGACATCTACGTAAAGCACCGGTTTCTGCAGCTCCCGATGCAGATGTCGCGCCTCGGCCTGTAGGGAAAATGGTTCCACAACGGTTGGCTGCAAGGGTTTATGAGACTCCTCCGTGGAGGCGCGCAGCATTTCCTCAAACTTTGGTCGGGCCTTTTTCCTCGCCTCCAGCATCCGCTGCACCGCCTTGTCAAACCCCATAGCAATGGGTAGAGGGGAGGGATTTCGAATTACAGCTTGCTGATGCCAACGGCCATCGCTACTGCTTCTGCGGCATTTCCCCTGCTTCTCCTCTCTATCCTCTTCAGCGCCGCCTTTAACAGGAGGGTCTTCTGCTGTGAGGAGAGAACCAGACGTGGAGGCCGCCGTGGATTCCGTGCCCGCACCAACAAATGGTTCTCGCGTCCACCATGCCAGTGAATCACGGTCCTTGTGGAAGCGTGCGGTGTTGGGAGCAAATGTACACTCCTCCAGCTCTCGCTCCTCCTTTGACTTATACACCACAACGGAAGATTTGCGTTTTATCTGAAGGAAAGGTTCTCCCCCGTCGTTTTCATTTCCCTCTTTTTTTGCTGTGAGCGGCGTAGATGACACCACTTTAACTCTCTTGTTAATCGTTGGAGCAAATGTGCATCCTTCAAGCGGGTCATATGTTGTTTTCTTTTTCTTCGTCGTCTCTAAAAGACACGGTTGTGGACTACGGCTCAACCCAGGCGACCCCTCCAACACTCGCTGGTCATTCATCACAGGATCCCTGAAACGCGAGCTACACGACGGTGCAATGGGTGACGGAGAATTAACTTCCCCGTCAAACGGAACGGCGTCCGTGCCTCCGCTCTTCATCCGCAAAGGCCGCTGCATGACCGGTACTGATGCTCTGGAGGTATTCGTTTGTGATGTATCCGTCACTGTGATCCTCCTTTCATCCGTCGTAGAATCGATACGTTTGGCATGGCGCATGGTGGGCACGGGGCCCTGTGAGGACATCGAGCGTGGGTGAATAGGTTCATCCGTTTCAGGCTTCTCTTTACCTCCTATCGAGGAAGCGCTATCACCATCCTCATGAGAATCGTCATTCACAGTATTATGTTTCACAGCAACGGGAATAAGTGCGGCGCGGAGCACGGTTGTAAAAACCTTCACAAATCGATCATAAGGCACACAACGTCTACCAGCTGATTCATCCAAACCGAGGGCCAGAAGAAATTTATCCACCACAGCGGAGGGTGCCTGCAACCCCAATTCTTTTAGCGCTGCGTATACACCACCAATAGTGATTTCGCCACTTCCAACCCCAGCGTGGGTGCGCCACAGCGCCCGTACGCGCCGAAAAGCCTCCTGTGACTGCTGGTGCGTGCTCTGCCAAGTGCCGTTGGCGACCATGCGCTGGCTCTTGATGTTGATGACGGGATGAAATGTCTCCTCCACGGAATTCATGTGCACTTTGCGAATAAGTGCGGTCCGAGTGTTTTCATGGCCATCTACAGTGTCGTTACTGCGCCTCACACGCGGGTTGGTGACGGGGGCAAACGTCTCGGTGCGCTGACGTTCCTCCTCTGCCCTCGCCAAAAGCTCCTGACGGTGCCGTTCTCGTCGCATAATGTCATGGGTTTGTCGTTCTTCTACAGAAAAACTGCCACTTACAAGACGACGACTGTTTCTGTTGATCTTCGGGCGGAACATGTGAGCCGCTTCTCCCGCCGAGAACGCTTCCGTCGTGGGCATGCGCACTTTCACCCCACTTATGAAGCAATTTACAATAGCCCATAAGAAATGTCAGAAAACAAAATAGATACCCACAGAAACAGAGACATACATACATGCATGTTCATAAAGAAAAGAATAAAAATAAATAAATAATTCAACAGAAATATAATGCCCATAAGTGGAATAGTGTGTGTGTGCGTGTGTGCGTGTGTGCATCCCACCCCTGCCGCTATCGCATTAAAATGATTTTTATATAAATTCTTTTTTCAATGATTGAACTTTATACGAGAATGGTCGCGCATTAAAAAAAAAAAAAAAAAACGCCCATCAGTTAAATTTCTTTCATTTCCTTTTCTTTTTTTTTTTTTCTTTTTTTCCGTTGCCATCGTTGTTTTCCTCTTCGCTTCAAAGTTCTCAACGCCCCTTTTTCAGCCTCCCTCTCTCTCTCTCTCTCTCTCCATCATCCAAACACAAAAAGAAAGTGGAGAGAAAGAAGAAATTAAACGAAACTAAAAGAGTGAACCCGAAAAGGTACCAACAAGACAGCTCGGGTAACCCACTAGGTGATCCATGCTGTGCCGTACCGCGTTCTGCAGTTGTGCCACTTCCTCAAGCACCGCCACCATCTCTCCCCCACACTTGGTCAATAGTGTGCCATGTGAACGGATGACATCAGCCAAAATCCCTTGCACAAGATCCACATTTTCACGTCGCCGTAGCCACACCGCCAAAAAAGAAAAAAGCCCACAAACACAACTCTTGATGCAATCAATTTCTTCTTTCGAGTAAGATACGCCGTCGGTGTACTCCACGGCACGCTTAATCTCCAAGTCTATGGCCTGTGGCGTCTTCAATGCGAGCAAGTGCAGCATCAATTTCTCATGTTCCCCTTGCATCAACATGCGCTGCACCGGAGTCCGTTCTAAAAGAGACGCACCCACAAAATGTGTCTGAGAAGCTGCCGCCTCCCCAGCTTTACCTGAGGATGCCACCACAAGGAACGTAGGACGCAGCTCTTGTGTTGTGGGGAGAAAGAAGGGAACATCACGCTTCTTGGGTGGCAAGAGTGGCATGTTCTTTTCCTTGATCTGATCCAGAAGGGTGAGGTTAAACCACAGGGAACGGGGCACACCGGCGAGTCGTAGACCTCCGGAAACAATCCCATCAAGTTGCCCCCATTGCTCTTGCTCCCGCTGACGCCGCATAAGTGCACTGTCTTTCGACGCATCAAAAAGCTCCGCTTCTTCTTCTTCTTCTTCCTTCCGACCACTCATTGTCGTTGTCAATTTACCCGGCGGCTGAAGACCGTTAAAATTCATCCCCTCGCCCACTTCTTCTTCTTCCTCGTCCTGGCGGTGTTCCTGCTCGTCTTCCTGCAACTCCTCACCGCCATGCGCGGTTGGAAAGTGCAGGAGCGGCAGTTGCTCTATCCGCCGCCCTTTCGGGTCCGTCACAACCTCAGGCACAAACCCGTAACGCAGGTTGTTCGACCACAAGAATGCGCCACGTTCGCCTGCGTGTGTGGAAACCATAAAAAGTGCATCCGGATGAAAGCTAAGCGAGGTGGCAGGGGACGCAAGCCGGTACTGGCCGACGCAAGCTGCCGCTGCAAGATCCCATACGAGGAGCACGGCGTCGCCAGAGGCAGACACAACATAACGGTAGGAGTCCGGCGCCAAGGCCAGGGCCGTGATAGGACCATTGTGCCCGTCAAACTCTCGCACGGGTGTTGCGAGGAAATCCTCATCAAAGCCCACATCGGGGTTACAGTGATAAACACGAATTTTAAAGTGCTGTGCCACAATAAAGAGCGATGAGGGCTGGTGTAAACAAGACTTACTCATTGGACAGTCCACTTGTAAAGCACATCTCAAATGACCTGTGAGAAGATCCCATAACTTTATACGTGAATCCAAGCCCGCGGTAACAATGACACTATTGCCACAAGCGATTTCAACGCACTCTACAGAGCTGGTATGAGCCAAATCATTTGGCTGAAGTGCAACGTCAAACAGTTGCTTCACACTTCGGTTCTGGATGCTGATAATTGCCACATTACCACTGGAGTACCCAACAACGGCAAAATTCCCACAATCACTCAACGCGACAGTGCGTGCAGTATGCATGGAAGTTGTAATACCACTCAGTTTACACTCCAAAGAACGTGTGTCCATTCGCCAACAACACATTTTCGCGGAGGCTTCATGTAGCGAGACGACACTTGACCACTGATAGTTCCTCGCGGTACAACTGGCCATGGCAATAACAGGTGTCGCCTTCAACGCTTCTCGACCCATTTGTTTTTCACGACCACGCCGGCCCAGTTTACCCTGTGATAGTTCCCAGGAAGCACGATCCGAAAAGACATGCGTTACACGAAGCGCCCGATCCGTCCCAGCTGTGAGAAGCAGATCTGTATTATAAAAGAGAGCATTGGTGCAACTACCCATGTGACCACGACGCTCTCGCACAAGCATCCCGAGGCCATCAACGGTATCAAACCTAAATTGCATCAGCGCATTATCAGCCCCCGCCGTCACCATGGTAGCATCATCTGTTGGCAGAAACACAATAGAATGTATAGCATCCGTGTGTGGAGTTTCAAACACCTCAGCTTCAGAACGTACCTGCTTACTGCGTGTAAGAACACCCTCAAGGCAGCGGTTCTCAAGATCCCACAAGACCACTTCACCTGCGGTCGTTCCAGAGACCAAAATGCTTTTCTCCACACGAAACGCCAAAGCAGAAACAGCCCCCTGGTACTTATGTTCAAACATCATGATCTCCTCATTTGTGAGAAGGTTCAGTACCACAACCCGGCCGCAGCTCGTGCCGTAGGCGATGATGTCTTTATACCTGCCGGCTGCAAGCGACAAAATCTGGGCATCCGATTCCCGTTGCGCGTACCACAAGCAGACACCGGTCTTAAAGTTATACAAATGCAACGACCCCTCCGCGGTGGCAACAAGTAACTTGTTCGTGTACCCGGTGGGTAAAATGGCCGCACGCACCTCCTCACTGCGCTCAATAAGAAATTCTCCAAGAAGTTTCCCCGACTTCACCGCCCGCACAGCTACCCGCTTGTCTTGCCCAATACAAAACAGGATATCATCCGCGGCAAGAAGGTGATTCACTTTGCTCTGTGTGATGTCGTGATGCGCACATGTCCAAATTGGCTTGTGGTGTGTAAAGCCATGCACATGGGGACCTTCGGCGACAAAGCGGTACTTGCCGGTTTGCGCCACTGCCCGCACGCGGCTATGAAAATGAGGCCCGCCACGCAACATGGACAACTCCTTCCCACGGAACAACTGGAAGGTGCGACCTGTAGCGACCATCAAGACCGGTGCCCCATACAACACCGTGCTGCTGACAGGAACCTCACCGCAAACAGCCCCCACAACACGAAAGGGGGAGAAGCCCTCCATTAATTCAGCTGCTGTGGTCGTTGGCTATGTCTCACTGCGGGCGTATGGATGCGTGATCGCAAGTAATATGCCTAGTCGCCCTGCTTTTCCCAACCCTCGTTGTTCCTTCTGAACCTCCCCCCGTGTCACGGATTCCCTTTCTTTTCTCTTCCTGTCTCTCCTTCCTCTGTGCTTTAACGTCTCGCTGACGCCCCCCCACCACCGCCACTTGCTGTTTGTTTGGCACGCAACAGTAGTATCGCATGTCGCACAGCGTAGATCCCACACGCACAGTACAAACCAAGCCAAAAATAAGAAATGAAATAAAAAATAAAATTTCCGCAGCAGAAGAGGAAAGCAGAAAACAAAACAAAAAAAAAAAAACACCTGCCAAACAGTACACAGGCGCACACAACTTCGTATCCCCAGGCTTAGATAAGCCACGCAAGCATGTTATCAAAACATTCTACATTTCTTCTTTTTTTTTTTTTTCTTTTCTTGTCTTTTCATCCTCCGCCCAATCTTGTTTTCTCCACCTTTTTCGCGGTTCCTCTCCCTGCCTCCATGCACTTTCTTTTTATTTCTCATTCTCCCTCTCTCTCCATTTAAAAGCATTCCGTTTTTCGCTGGAATCTTGTCGCATGAGCGTACTCCACAAGCAGCCCGCCAGAGAAAATCACAGGGAGCGTTGCATAAAGCAGAACGGCAACAATAACAAAAAAAAAAAAAAATCTCAGCGTTCCAGTAAATGGAAAAAAAAAAAAAAAAGTAAAAAAAAAAAAATTCGGGGGCATAAACAAAAAAGATGACAACTGCACAAAAAAAACAAAAAAACACAAACAAACACAGAAAAAAGGGGGAAAGAGGAGGGTAAAAAAAAAAAAAAGAAAAGAAAGTAATGTGCGCCGGGATGCGGCCTGGTCCCCCCTATTCCTACAGACAGAGAAGGGGCACGGTGGGGAGATGACAGCTGGGTTCAGTGCGCCTGGCAGCCCCCGCACTCGTAGTGAAAAAATTCACCCCACGCCCATACATCAGTAAACCAATCGGTCCATTGAGGCTCGTCCTATGACAACCGGGCACGCTGTGGACCCCACGAAGCGGCGGTCCCTAAAAAAAAAAAAAAAAGGGGGAGCCTCGCAGCCAACAAAACTCCCCTCCATGCGGAGAGTCACAGTAGTAGTAGTGGTGGTGGTGGTGGTGAGGGAGTGGGCGGGTGGAATGAAAAATAAAAAGAAACTGCACTCGCTGCCCTCCAAGGCGGTGTCTTTTAAGAGGAAAATCAGGCAACCGAAACTCAAGTGGGCGGGAAGGTTCAAAAAAGAGGCACCATCCATCGTTGACTCCTCCTCCCCTCCCCCTCC